CTTCAGCTTTGTCTATTTTATGATATGAGAAGCACAATATTGAACATTCCTGTATATCTGAACGTAAAAATCAGTAAGTCATGAAACCATATTAAACCTTGTCATAAAAGAAGATAAAGACAGATGGGTTTGTTACCAACATAAAGATATTTCAATGAGACTGGATTCCAAAGCCCTAAACTTTCATAGAAAGCAATAAATACCTGGTGACACACCTTAAAGATATGATGTGTCACCTGCATACCTGATTAGTTAGAAAAGACTAGAAGTCTAATAAAGATTTTACTGGAGAACTTCAACAAATGATGCTAATATTAACCATTCCATCCAGCAATGACATCATAACTTAGATACAGAGAGAAAAATGTCCATAACCTTTTAATGAAAATATACAACAGTAAAGCATGGATTTCACTGCAATCTTTTTTTTTTTTTTTAATTGTTTTGAGAAGGAGATTGGGGTTTCTATTAAAAAATAGGGTTTATATTGGAACTGCTTTGTTTATATAGTGAAAAATACCAATAGAAATTAAGTGAAACTTGTAGAACTGCAGTGAATTCATGCTGTAATAGCTAAATTATATTGATCAGCATGAAATGTATGGTTTTGGTCTCATCAGTGGTAACTGGAAAGTTAAATGCAAAAGAGGAAAAGCATAGAGCAAAAAGGTCCTGTTCACAGTGGCACCAAGAGGTAAAAGTACATTTAGCCAGCTGACTTCTTCATCAGTTACAGCTAACTAATGTCCTTGGCAAGGATACTGTTCCAAATTCAAAACGGCCTCCACAAGGACAACGTACCATGCTTGAAATGGCATAAATATACAATGCTCATTAAGTTTAGTTAAATGAGCATATCAGATGCAGGACATGGCCCCGAGAGCAGAAAAATATATACATATATCTGTATATATGCACTAATAACTGCTCATTAAACAATGAACACATATATACACAAATATGGCACACGTTTACAAAACCCACAGAAAACAGAACAATGCAGAACAAAAAGTGAACACAGAGAATAGTTAATAATGATTGAATTATCCTTTTTGTGAAGAGCATCATGTTCATGTAAAAAGAAAAAACACAAACAAAAAACCCCCAAAAAACCCTACACCTGATTTTTAAAAATTCTGTTAAAAACACTTAAGATCCATTTTTCATAGAGAGGAGTGACAGATTAGATCACTACTGCATGAGCCTTGCAATAGCCAGTAGCCTGCCCGATTACACAAGCTCAGAGACATTGGACAGGAACAGGGTCACCATCAACACAAGTACATTCTCCGTAGATAAAAATGCAACACATTTATGGCCAAGGACTCAGAAGAACCACCCATGGATCTCTAATGGGGCAAAGGTCAATTTGCACTCAGACTGTAAATATGAGTTGTCAGAATGAAGTGGTGGGTTTTTAAAAAATAATGGTTCTGACAAGCTTTCATGTTCCAGCTGCTTTGCATGCTTGGATGAAGCAAATCAGACTTATCTGACTGAGTAATTCAGAGCAGACTAACCTGACTAGTTAAATATCATATGGATGCATATCTTATTTAGTAGTGGTGGCTCAGTTAACTGCTTTCCCTACTTCTCAAGAACAAAATGTTTCACTTAGTGTACAGATATATACATATTGTTCATGAACTAGAATTCAGAATAAAATTCTGTAACACAAAATCATCACAGAAAGAGGTACCTAGATCCTAGTTATGGTGATTTTCCTCTTCATTAATCTATAACACTGCTTCACAAAGGAGAAGCAAGAAATATTTAAAACTGTTCCCTGTGTGACCTGAGCAATCATAAAGATCTACAAAGCATCCTCCTAGAAAAATTCAGAGCTGAGCTGAGTGTTCCTCAAGAGACTTTTTCCGCAATCATTTTAAAAAGAAGCTGTGCTTTCATCTATATTGACATTTCTACGAGTCCTGTTGTTTCAAAATTGAGAAGTGCATAAAAAGGCAAAGTTGAGGTACTGAATATGCTATAGACGCAAGGCTTAGAAATAGGTGAGGAAATTTGTGACAGTGGCACTTAAGCTCAAAAGCAAAGCTGGAACTATTTCTGGCAAAATATTCCTAAATAAACAAAATATGTACACAGCTAAAGACCTTGAATTTAAACCCCTTTCCCCACACAATGAAAGGACACAGAAACCTGCTATCTAGAGTTTATTCTCCCTACCTTTCCAACGCTGTAAGGTACACAGGCTCACCTCTGCTGACAGCCGCTGCAGCAGAGAGTGGTGTCAATCTAAGCCTCCCTCAATCATTTTCCCAACCCCTTCATCCAGAAGAAGGGAGGGGCAAAACCAGCTTTATTTCCTACTAAGGGCTTCTACCCATAGTACCCTTTTGAAGATGCTTTCCCATACCTTCATGCTGCCTAAACAACTTGAAAAAGCAAGAAAGAGGAACTGAAGACAAGAATCTTGCCTACATAATAAATTCCACTTTATTTTAAGAAAAATATATAAGAAGGAACATGAGCTTCTGTTTACATTTTTGCAGAACATTTCTGATAATCATATCCTAGATGCTGCACTTTGAAAAAACTCAAAATCCAGAAAGAAAATATTAAAACAGCAGTACAGCATATCCCTCATCCCTTGATGACAAGGGAAGCCCAGATATCATGTGGGTGAAATATTCACTTGAAGGAAATTGTTCCCAAATTTAAAAGAAAAAAAACAACCAATCAAACAAAAGTTGTTCCAATTTAATTTAGGCTTCAATCAGTCTTACTGCACTCTTGAGGACACATAGAATCAGCTAGGTTGGAAAAGACCTTTAAGATCATCAAGTCCAACCACTACCCCAGGACTGCCAAGTCCACCACTAAACCATGTCACTGAGGGCATCTACACGCTTTTCTAACACTTTGAGACGATGATTCTACCACTTTTCCTGGGCAGTCTGCTCCAATACCTGATTACTTTGTCTGTCAAGAAGCTTTTCCTAATCCTCAAGCCAAGCTATATTCTGCTCCATAGTGCTTGAATTTGGATGCTGTTTTTTTGCAACCTCTCTGATGAAGAAGCAGGTGTGGGTTGCTACATTTCTTGCTGGCTTATTTGACTGCACAAATCATCTGAGAACAGAAACTCTTTCTGATACAAGGCTTTTAAACATTCCCTATAAAAGCAGCAAAATAACATCCTTCACTCTTCCTTACTTTCAGGAAACAGATAATTAGACAGATGGCAAAAAACTCCTACTTAGTGCATCATTCTTTTGATCTTTTAATAACAGTGAGAAATCTTCCAGAAAATGTTAAGAACAATGCTGAAAAATTTCCTACCTAATCCTCAACCTGATTCTAACATGGGCCCTGTGGAACTTGAGTCCTCAGAAAAATCTCTGGTTTGAACCTCTCAGTGTCTCAGGCTGAAATGAAGGCCAGGTAATGACCTAAAATTCTGACAAATGTGTTCAGAAAGACTGAACTGAGAATGCTGTAGATTCATAAGGACAATTGCAACGTAAATCAGTAAATTCAAAGATTACATATTTTATCATTTTACTAACAATTTTGAAAAAAAGTAAATTGTGTTTTAGCATAGTTATTTTTTAACTCATTACTTCCTCCAACCACTAAACTGCATTTACAATATATAGTCAGGGCTCTACACACAAAGGTCATCCAGTCCTTGGATTAAAATCTGGTTCTCCTTTGCCTGACACTCTCATGGAAAGTACAAATACAGTCAGAAGAGTCATCTAAATTTTATGTTAGAAGATTGCCATTTTTGGGCAAACTGGGGAGTTTGACTATATAGAAAATACAAAATCCAGTCCTTTAAAAAGATTCAAGTGTCAACCAGAAAGCAAATCATCCTTACTCTGTTGTAGGATAAAGAGGAAAGAATTCAAGAGAAACTGCCAGTATTTAGGAAACAGATTCCTTTTGATGGGGTAGAAAATTAGCATGTGGCCTTCCATTGCCAATGGAATACGAAGGAATTGCTGAAAGATCAGCACCATTTTACATATTTTAAAAGTCTTCGCTTCTTTCCCCATCGCAGCCTTTTTCTCCCCAGGAGCCAGCTCTCTGATTTATTGTAATGCTCCTTACGAATATGTCTTGTTCAGACTCTGCAGTTTCACACTTGTTCTCTGAGTGGGTGTTACTTGCATGGCAGTACTCAAAGGCAGCTGTGATATTGCTGGCACTGAATCAGAGAGATAACGTTCTGTAGGGTATCGCTCAGCTTTCCAGAATAAACATTTACCTGAGCAGAAACCACTTTATGGGTTTTAGCTTTTTTATTTTCTACATATGGGGTTTTTTGTATGACAAATTTCAAAACAAAAAATGAAAACATTTACCACCAGGCAAGAGTGTGCACATTTAAAGGTTCTGCTCAGGCATAGAAGTAAAATAATTATCAGCTTGTCAGAAGAAAGATGTCACAACCTTTGAAATGGCATGCCAGTTTGTATTTCCTTTCTACGCCCTGTTCACAGTGGATACTATATTTTGGCAGGAAACGAAGAGCAAAAGCTTCCTGCAAAGATAAACTTCATGACTCAATTTATATAAACTAAACCTTCTGTGATTGTAACTTTACCGTTTAGAAAAAACTGATTGAATCCTCCAGGGCAAGCAGAAGATGGATGTTGTGTAGGCTCCTGCATACTGCCAGTCGCTCCCTTGCTGGTCCTTACACATCTGACTCCACTGTCCCATTTGGTTTATGACTTCCATGGGGGCTACCAACACAACCACCAGCCTAAGCACTGCCCAGGTGCAGGGGTGCAACCTCTGTGGATGCCAGTGGGACATAACCCACCAATGCCACAGCAGGACTTTCCCCACTGCATCTGGAACCAGTTTGGGCTGCTGCCAGCAGAACGTCATCTCCTGCTACAGGAGGAGACATTTTGCTTTTCAGGTTTCAAGAAGATGCCCAAATTAGATTGCATCTGCAGTGCTGGGAGAATCCCCTGCTCTGCTAACCACTCAGCACCACATGCACCCAAGGAAAAAATGTTTACCTGGTGTGGCCACGGTTAACCTTTTTTCCTTGCTGAGACGGTGCCCATGGATGAATTCACTCATGGAAGGGGGGCCCCTCAGAAGATATGATTCTGTGGAGGTGGGATGAGGGGGGGCTCTTAATAATTTCTGGAGGTAGGTCCCTGAAGTCCTGGGATGGCTCTGATCACAAAGGGAAGGTGAGAATAGTCTTGCAGGAGATCCAAGAAAAATACATATGGAAACAAAAGAGTTTTACTTTAATTACCTTTCAAAGCCTCACAAATGACAACATCATGTTAATTTGCTTAACAGGTAAAAAACAACTAGTGTTGCCACCCCATGTCATTTCCACAGCAGGGCACCTTGCCTGCATTGGAAATACTGGTTCATATTAGGGGAGGAGATGAGGTTGAGCTATATCTCAGCATCCTGGAGTCGACATATACAAGGCTCCCTGAATGTTCTCTTGTTTTTTAAACTGCGACTAGAGCACACAAGAAAAGGTAATGATTACACAGGACTTCTCTAGAAGAGAATCCTCTTCATCTTCAGAACTGTGGAGATCCCCACACCTGTAGAGCTTTGCCAGGGCAGTCACAAGAAAAGAACTCGCTGCTTGAACAGCAAAATATTTGCATTAGGTTATGAATGGCAGCCAACCCCTTCAAAAGGCTGCTTGCTCCCATGTAGAAAAATTGATCTGAGTGAACATATCCATCTTCTTTTTGTACTGAGAAAGAACAAGTGAGCACCAGAGCTTAACAAAGAGATGCAGTTTCTTTTGTGTTAAGCGCTGAAATGCTCATGGAGCACAATCCTTTTTTATTTCAGATGCTCGTTACAGAAAACCTCAAGGAACAGTTAAGGAAAACTTGTTAAAGAAAATACATTCACACTGATATTAAAGACATACAAGATGCACTGAGACACTGATAGAATATAGTTCAAAACACTGCATTAAAGAGGAGGAAATGACATAGTGAGTGGGTGGATTGGAACCACATGTTGCCAGGCTTTGAATTTCATATTCATATCCCCCCACCTCCTTTTCCCCAGTAAAAGAACGGAAAGAAAAAGAACAAAATAATAATAAAAAATAATTATAATGTTTACAATTCAGTGAACAACTTAATGAAAGTCTGGCCACTGCACTGTACTGTAAAGATCACTGCATGCATACCTTTTCCTCTGAGTGCCACTGCTGACCAGTAAGTTTGGTTGCTGTGGGCCCTGACTATGCAGGAGGAAAGTGTCTATGCTTGGCACGGTGGCTGATGCCTCCTCACTTACTTTAGGGCTGCCGATCTTGCTCTTTCCAAGCTTGCCTTTGCTGCGTCGGGACTGCTCATGGTCGAACTCTAAATCCTCCAGTCGCTGAGTAAGGGCAAGTTTTTGCTGGATAGCCATGCGCAACAGAGAATTTAGGGTCTTCTTCTCGTCCTCCGCAGCTGCTAGCTGCCTCTGCATCTCATCCAGCTGCGTGACGTACTCATCACACCTGAGAAAACAAACAAGGCAGAAATCTGGGGAACCGGTCCAAGCACCAACCCTACCAGGGACTGCATTCCTGGACTGCACTTACAGGGGAAGATCCTGACCCAAGCTTTTGCCAAACCTAATCCTGGAAGCAGACACCCTGAATTCTTCCATTCCCACTTTGAATGAATGTAGACTTGGATCTGAATGCATCACTTCCTGTTCAGCAAAAGAACCTCTATCTATAATATCAGAGGAGCCTATGACAATGTAGTATGTTTCCAATGCAGATGAAGAGCAATTGGAGCACAGGCTTATTATTGTGGAATAATCTCCAGATTATTACACAAAGAACAGTACTGGGTGCTGTTTCTGCTAATCCATGTCTACTAATTAGATAGTATTATTTTCCATAGACAGTAATATCCACTTCAACAAAACATTATAAAAAAAAGTGAAAAAAAACCTGCAAGTACTTTGAATGCTTGACATGAGATTTTGTGAAATCAAAAGCCCTCAGTTGTTTAGCACTGCTACCTGATTAGAGAGGTACTATTCAGGAAATCCCACACCTGGAAGTTATTTCACATTTACTGTTAAATTTCTTGGAGGTGTGCTTAGGCACCCATTACTATGGTCACCTACTCCTTTTTAACCCTCAGCCTCTTTTATCTGCATGAAATACTGTATTTTTTTTTTTATTTGATTTAGATCTGAGACAGATTTTGAAATAAAACCATCCTTCTTATGATTTTGTTAGCATTGAAGGCTGAATTCAATTTAGTTCCACCCTAAATAATGATTCCTAAAGTTAACAGGAAGAGCAAGGCTTATCAGGATAGTCTTACTCACTTTTTGAAGTGAAATAGCTTCAGTTTGTGAACAACAGACCAGCTAATTAGTAAGAACCAAGACCGATAAACGTATACAAATGAACCACAGCAGTACTGTCTGACCTTTGGACATTTGTGGCAACATCAAGATTTTTTAACATGAAATGTTGCCACTTTCACCACATCTCCTCCCCACATGACCTGTATAAATCTAGTTTTGCTATGCAATTACAGTAGTGTAATGGATGAGGATTTAACTTTACCAGTATCACTCAGAAAACAAGCATAGAAAATACTTCTCAAAATGTGTGATGCAAGAAACTTTTGAATGAGGGATGAAAATGATTTCTATGAAACTGTGACCTTCTCCTTGGGAAACAGAAATAAAGTATACTCAAAAATTCATTGTCATTCTTCACACACACTCACATATATATATAGCACTCTCCTTTTGAATAATTCCAGCACTGGAAGCAAAATTACTAAGTCAGGCATAGTTAGATCTACAGTTTCAGTATTATCTTTTCTTCTACAGGACCTTAATAAGCTTAACTGTCTCTAGTCAAGCCTTGAGGAGATACTTCTGAAACATCTGGCTTAAAACCAACTTGCACACCTATTTCTGCTCCAGGCCATGAGATGTCTATTGATGCTTCACCCAGCTTTTTGACAGAGGCATTAGAATGAAATCAGCATTCTGGAGATTAAATTAAATTAATCTGAAATAGGAATTACTATAATGTCTGTGTTATCAGCGTTTTAAAGGCTCATTCTTGTAACCAGGTGGATCCTGTATCCGTGTCTCTTATTCTCTCCTGACTTCCTTTTTGTCCAGGAGACACCATTTTTTTTCCAAATACGTTTTCTGTTGAAAATGTTAAAAAGTAACAATTGCAGCAACACCTGTAGCACAGTGCCACTAGAGGAAGGAACTGCTTTGCTTTACTATCACAATAAGCCAATTTTTATTTTGGAAAAAGATTGGTTTTCTCAGGCCTTAGGATGTGTTCTTGGTATTTAGGCATCTGCTTTGTAAAACAGGATAACTGAGCAGTTAAGAAACAAGCTCCATGAAGGCGGAATACTTAAGCAGACTTAGACAAACCCACTTTTCATTACCTGCTATGAACTATATAGCAAAGTGGCCCTAGAAACCTGGATATACTAGATGCTGACAGCTGACCTCATACTCTAGACAAAACAAATCTTGTTAATACAACATTTTCCAACTGTTCTGATTAATTATATTCCCCTCCTAGAAGTCTCTCCAAAACAGTGACCCCACATTTTTGGCAGTCCACCACAGTGTCTGGGTGGTTCCAGTCATCTGACCTCCATTATGACTCGAAGTTTCCTATTATTTTTCACAAACACATGGTCCATTGTCTCTATGTTTTGTTGCTCAAGCTTGTGGGGTGTTTTGAGAAACAGCATTCATAAAGGTTAAACCTAGATCAGTCCATAATTAACTTTAGAAACTGCTGAATTAACAGACTCATTTCACTGAAATATTCCCTGCTATGTGAGAGTGTGGCATAAAATGAAAAATGTTTCTAATTAAAAAAGCAAAAAAAAGCATTACACGCATCCATACTGCCTTTTTGCCCACACATTTTATAAACACTCATGAAGTCTCGACAGCATATTGAGGAAGAAAAGGTCAAGAGGTCCTAAGAGAGATGAATTCTGGCATGGCACTGGCCATTGTGGACCAAGCAGGGCTCCAGGATGCACCAGGGCTCTGACTGGGTTTTCTGAGGCACTCAAAATACTAATGAACAAAAGAAGTTAGGTTATTTCCTCTTGAGTCAGAGATCTTTGCTAGTTTCTCCCTTGCCTCAGGACAGGTTTAATCTGTAAGTGACTATTAAACAAACACTGCTATTATCTTGCTGTCTGCTGAACTACTTATCACCAGCACAAAAGTCAAGATTTCACCTATTCCTCTTGTCTCAGAAAGGAAGCAGACAGACACATAAGCCTGCTTACTTTGTATGAACTGATCCAAGAAGCTTATATAGCAGTTTAAGGGATTTCTAGTTCCATCTATCTCTCGTCTAGGAATGCAAACCAAATACTGAGACAGGCTTATGTGTAATTTAGGTAACATAAATCATAGCCAAGCTTGAGCTAAAAAACCAGTGACACTGACAGATCCCTGCTTTAGCCATATAATAAGCTTCTGTTAATAAATGCTTTCTCATCTAGGACCTGTCCAAACTTTCTATTTCATCTCTTTAGCACAGTTCTTTAAACATTAATCATAAGACAATGTCTTGATGGATGGAGAATAGAGTCAATGCATGCGGTGTCAGGACGGCAGCAACGTAACAGTTAATAGGTCTTGCTCTCTCCTTTTGAGTAACTCTATTTAGGCTGGGAAAGCAAGTATGTGTCGGGACTCAGTAAAAATAGCTTTCCGAATCCCCTTAAGTTCCTGCTTTAAAAGTAGTTCCTTCTCTTCTTCAGCATGAGACTTCCCTTCCTCTCCCAGGGCAACCCCTACTCTAGGCTGGGAATCTAATGGTTTTCATTTGCCCCCTGGATGAGAGCTGGCCACCTGTCTTCTCACAATCCCACAGCTCCCACCCTGGGTCAGCAACTCAGGACTGGAGTGAGGGGAAATAAGAGGAGGGGCAGGAAAAGCTCTCACCCCTTTTTCTGGCCTGGAACTACCAGAAGCAGGCCAGGACAAAATAACCAGGGTAAAGGCAGGAGCTGCAAGTCTGGTGGACAGCACATGACCCTGGAATTGAGCAGGAACCTCAAATCTGCTCTGCCAACCCCATATATCCCACAGAAAAGAGGTTTTACACACTATTGCTTTTTCTTTTTTGAGGGAGGTGTTTGGGGAAAAGGGAGTTTGAACTGTATTGAGGATGTCTTGACAGACCCGAAGTGAATTCAGAAAGCAATCACAAGGGTAATGAAGAGGGAAGGGTGAAGTTGTAAGGATCAGAAACAGATTTTGGATTGGGAAAAAAACAGTCCCAGAAGGAAAAATTGCAGAAGGAGAAGTACAAGCAAGACAGAAGGACTTCTGAGGTGGAGGAATAAAAAACTGAAGAAAGAACTTAAGGCATGGAAGGATGCACAAGTGTCACAGAAAAACACAGGAAAAGGATGCCTCCTGCTTTCTGCATAGGGGAGCTCCGAAGAAAATCGTCATCTTTGAGTTCAGACCAGAAACAACTGGGCTGTGCTTATAACATGGTACGATCTTTATCCAGTGCATTTGAAAAAGAAACCGTACAGTTCAGCACCAGAATGAACATCCATTTGTGGACCAAATGAACAGAAAAGAATGCCTTATGAAAGAGAAAGGCTATTGTTCTATCAAACAGTATATGAAATTATTTTAAAATCTATAACACAATTCTACTATCAGATATTCTCCCTACAATACAAATTCAGAAGTACCATGTGATGCAGGATAACCATGGAAACCACTGTTTTATTCAACAGAAGACTAAACAATTGCTTTTTTATGCTGAAGGTTGCTATTGCATCTAATGTTACTGCATGGAGAATCTTAACAGTCTTTTTCAAATGGATTTCTCTTCTTCAACAGACATCTAGAGTGTATTAGCTCTCTGTCATTTAAACAAATGCTATTCCAAATTGACTATTCAGTATAAGTCAATTATTTGAACATTTAGGAAAATTGATTTAATTATAAAGGCCATAATATTAAAGTCTAATGAAGAAAAAGGAATATTTTACAACAGAAAAATCTATAGGAGTACACTTATGTTCAAGACCTTGCAGTGAATTACTTTTTATACCTGTGCTCAGAAAATACTGAGCAAAACTTAATGACCTCAAGGGCAGGGATATATTTCACAGGCCATGCACTGAGTGTTTAACTATTACTGCACGGAGTTTACCAACAACAGCATATGCTTTGGATGGGCTTTATCGCTACTAACATTAGACATTTACAAAGTAGAAATCTGTAACTCAGCAAGTCACTAAATTCTCTTTACTATTCATAGAAGAGAAACCTACCATCCTCTTAAGTAACAACTTCTAAAATTTTGTAGTTTTTTTTAACTTGTAGGTAGATGGTTTATACTCCATGCAAGACCCTTGTTTGCTTTATGCTCATGAAGCCACTCTTTTCCTCTGGAGTTAGTCTTACAGAGTTATATAGTTAGGAATTCTTATAGAGTTGGCACATTCACGTATCTCTCAGAGAAATGAGCTTGCAAATAAAGATCAACACATGCATTTCGAATATACACACCCAACTTTCCATTCTAGAAGGAAATCTTCAGATGCCAACGAAATCAATAGAACTACCTTGGTTCACACCACATGCTGAGGTTCTTCAATTCAATTATGGCACTACTCATACTCTTCTGACGATGAACCTGTGATGAACTTGTACACAGCACCAATGTCATGGCATGTAAATGCCATGTCCCTTCTCCTTCTTTTCCACCTCTCCCAGCTGCTGCAGCTACTGTCACTAAGCAACAGAGGACCTCAGAAGGCTGGAAGAGGTGAGATGGCACCTATAGACCATATACTGGGGAGAAGCTGGCAAGAGGCATGAAGACGTCTTATCACTTATGGGCTAAAGTATTAGCAAGAAATCTGCATTGTGTTTGACCACAAGGTGGAGAGAAAGCCTTGATAACCTGAGGATACTAACTTCCATGCATATTTGGGAATTAAGAAAATTTTGATGAAACTGTTGGATTAAAAAAAAAAAATTAGTTTTAGGTAACCTTTTATAAAACAGCTAAAACCAAAAGCTCCTCTTTAAGAAGTTGCAGGAGAAGGAAAGATGAGACACGATTAATGACTGTCCTGCCAGAAGGAACTATGTTACAGAAAGTAAGTGAAAATTTTATCCTGTGAAGGAGAAGATAAAAATTGGATATCACAGCAGGAAAAAGTAAGAATTCATGCTGGAGTGGGAAAATGCAGTGGCCTCACAATATTTAGTGCTGGATTACAGCACAGTGTGGTTGATGGAATAGATTTTACTAGTAGTAAGTACTAAATCTCATGATAATGAAAACATGGGATTCTGAAAATCATCATTTACCATACAATAGCTTTACACGGGCAGAGTCATTGCGTACTTCTGAGCGTGAAAATCAGCCACACAAATCTACTGTTTGATTTCCACTTCAAAAAGCTCTATAAATGCAAATATACTGCAGGCATATATTGGCATTTATAACACTTCACTCAAAGTTATACTGACATTGCTATTCTCCAGCTTTTATCTTCCAAGACACCCATCTCGGTAGCACTTGAAAGCTTGCAGGTTTTGCACAGTGTGTACTCTAAGACTCATTCACCTTCATCCGGCAAACCTCTGACCTTGCAGAAAACAATTTCTGTCTCTCCTCTTAAACATCCAACATCTAAATCTATTCTCACTTAGCACACATGTATTTTCTTTTACAGAGCCAAACCAGGCAGTGACACCATTTCCCTTACCTAGTTGCAAACATCGCTCTCAAGGATGAGAAGGTTGCTGCATCTTCCTTCAAAGCCTTTAATTCATTCCGTAGTTTGGTCATGGTTTCAGTCACCATCGCTTTTTCATTTTCATATTTATTCTTCAAATTGGCTAGTGCCACTTCAGCTGTCTGAAAACACAAACAAGGATATACACTTACGAGACAGGTAGCTATTTAAGGTAAGATACCTATAGCTAAGATGCCATGCTTGATTTTGCTTTTGATTGCCTGCATTCACACAGCAAAAGAAGTTAGATCTGAGCTTCACTGCACTGCGCCCTTTAATGTCTTCTTTTAAGTTGCACTCCATGACAGTAGGAAAGGAGAAAGCACTTGGAAGGACAAAGACAATTTCTATGCGCTGGCAACAACTCCACACCTTAAATGTCTCTGCAAAACTGTGCAGATGTATGTTAAGGGCTCAGGCAAGTAAGTTACTACAGCTTAAGGAGCTGCTACAGTGTCGTTTGAGCTGCAGTAAACAACTAGGTGTATCCCTTGACCATGTTGCAAACAGGATGCATGGCACATGAGATTGGGCCTCTGTAGCTAAGGTTTGAACTAAGGGTGTTTCACCTCATGCATCCTGTCAGCTGTGGCTTTCCCCAGGCAAGGTGACTGCCAGGACCTGGCAGCTTGCTTTGATGTCTGAGCACAGGCAATGCCTACTGTTGCGCAAACCAACATTATTTTGGCACTACAAGAAAAGAATGGAAATAAGTGCAAAACGCAATTTTCACTTAACAGGAAAGCAACGTTTTCCTTCATTTTTTCTTTCTCTTTCCTTTTCTTGATTTCATCTCTCAAATTTCTTCAGATTACTGCCCTACTGCTTTTAATAGTTACATTTGTCTTTGAACCTTCTGTTTTACTTAAGAAGTTCAGCATGATTTTGAAATTATTCAAAATACACAGTTTTACAGAGGCTTTATACCTACTGTTTCTATGAGACATTTAAAATTATTGCTATTGAATGAGATGAAGAAAAAAGTGTTCAGAGGGAATTATGGTTGTTTCTTTCATGGTTGTTTTTTACTTCATTTAGTGCATAATAAGCTGCAGCATTTCATACCAGCAATCAATTTCCCCTGTTGATCTTGTAAGTTCTTGAGCTATCACCAGGGGAGAGAAGTGTAGAAGAATATTAGTTTAAAGCAATCAGCAAGGGGATGTGACAAAACGTGGTAATGACCAAGCAGCTGGAAACCTATTTTAAGCTCAGTTTTCTGAAACTCAATATATTTTCCACTACCAATTTCTCTTAACATATTAGCATCTCCTAAAATACACCTCCACTCATTTGTGTCTGGGGAAATTAGCGCAGTTAGAAAAGGCAGCATTCAAATATTTTAATCATTTTTTTTTTCAAATTGTACACTCACCAATAACATTTTCTCTTCTTTCACACTTGTCGACATTGAGACAACAGATTTTTTAAAGTCACTGGTAACTACCTGCCATTTTAAACAGATGGTTTCTTCCACGACAAATTCTAAATCATCAGCAATACACGTTAAAAAAATCATCTACTTAGGGATATATTCAAATAAATGCAGCTTTTCTCAACCTTGCTGACATACACTTTGGTATAACGTAGGATGGCAGACACCATCTTATGCCTTGGCAGGGTAAAGCAGAAATTGTCAGCTTTCTATCTGTTTTCATCCATGAGCAAAAATGAACACTCATAAATTAACATGGAGAAGAAGGATTGACTTTATTTAATGAAACTGCTCTTTTTGAAGGGAAATTTAGGAAATGGTGAAACAGAAGACAAATTTCTATTTAACAGATACAATTAAGCCAGATGTATGTAAGAATTTTCAGGTCACTAATGAGGTTGAAGTAATTTTTGAGAGCACAGGTGGACTCCTCAAATTGAGTTCTGCTTTGCCTCCAAGGCAGGAATTCAGATGTCTTTGGTTTGTAAGGGAAGTACAACCCCATCTCCTTTAACCTATCATACCTCACCTTTGAATGCAGAATTCACGTAAAGATTTTCTTTTGTTTAGGAATGAAACTGAGTTCAAGATATATGCCATTTAATGCTAGACATAAAAAAAAAACAAAAACCCAAACCAAATAATTCAAATGTTTCAGCAGTGGGATTACATATTCCATGTAAACGCAGTAATTTATACATCACTGGAACTGCACAATGACCAGACAGGTCACTGTGATCCCTGCTTTTTAGTCTAGACGTCAGGGTAAATTAAATGGACACACTACAGGATGAAAAATAACTTAGAAATATAATTTACTTGTTGAATAAAGATAACAGAGGAAGGACTGTGTCAAACTGTCATACCTTTTTTTCTTTCTGAGTTTTCTGTATGGAAAACTAAGCATAAATTCCAAAATGTATTAGAAGTGCCTGGTGGCTCTGCACACACCAGACAAGCTTTTGAACATACCCCATTTGAAGGCTGTTGAGAGCCTCCTTTCTGAAAGTCTCCCAAGTGAAGAATGAATGGGCACAAGTGCTCTACTAGAGAAGCAAATAAAACTAACAAAAACATATTTTTAATAGGCAAGAGAAAGAAGGGAGAAGCAAGTTGGGGAAGCTTCTGTTGGAAACTTGCAACCAGGGCCAGCAGAGCAGCAGTGCATCACTCTGGTGTGTGGCAAAGCACACTCAAAGGGTCCTTGTATGAGACAGTGAGCACCGACAGTGTAGGTGCTCAGATTATCCATAGCTCATCAGTTTAGGACCTGGATGCTGACTGAAGCTGATTGCTGTTGGACTCCTTGGCTCAGCGGCTGCCATTTCACAATGCAGCTAAATTGATCTATACTGGCTAGCTGCCACCAAATGTATAATTACCCAGCCTATCCCCATCCCTACCCTTCGTACACCAGGTGGTTTTCTTTTATGTTTACTGTGAGCCAGTCTGGGGAGCCTGAAGATGCAGAAAATTTGCCTGACGCACCCAGAAACCAGAATGTGTAATGGGGAGCAGGGCTGGGGGGAGAAGGGGAACTTGGATTCCAATTTTGAGAGGTATCTATGTATCTGGTCACCTCAGCTCTACTGTTAGACTGTGTCAATAGTAACAGGGACAAAATGAACTGAAGCCACAGCTTCATGTTACTTTTCCTCTACACTGAACAATTTCTGTTTGTTCCCCGCTCAGAGACATCTCCAAACTGTAACCATCGAGGGCCATATATGTGTGGTTGTGTCTGAAACCAGTTCTGTGGGATAAGCTAGATTTTGAAGACGTGGGGTGAACGGTGCTTTGAGAGAGTGCTCTGAAAGGAAGGATGGGACAAATAACAGTCTTCATCTGTAAGTAGTGGGTGCCAGAAAAAAAGATGCCCAGGACCTGTTTTTGTTTTTAACATCTCTGCAGCACTTGTTTTTAAGCTGCGGTTAACTACAAAATTGTGGCAGAGACATCAGAGACATTTTCTCCACATAAAAATGCAACCTACGATCAACACACATGGAAATGGGGAGCACAAGAAAAAAGATAAAGACACAGAAAAATGTGTGAATATTCTTCAGTGAAGTAAATAATGCAGTAAGACAGGAGAGGGGCCAATGACACTCCTATCAGACCAGTAATGCTCTAGAGCTGGGCAAATGAACCACCAGCCACCTTGCAGACAAAGAATTAACAGCTCACAGAGCACACAGCATTTGCTGTGCAGAAGTAGTCAGCTGGAGCTGACAGCAAGGCTGGGAGAGAGCAAAGAGCTCCACACCTGGACTCCTGTGGGACTGAAACATGAACAGGAAAAAAGAGCTGGGGTATGCAGAGCTCAGCCCCTCCTTCCCCAAAACTCAGCCACAGAGCTGAACAGGTTGAAGGGTGCACATACACTCAAGTCCCAGGACCCCAGCCATTGCCAAAAATAATGACACCCTTTTCATCCCCCTTCTGGTCCTTACAGAAGAGATGTTTGATTACTCTGTCTATAAAGGTTGCCACCTTAATCCTGAAATCCATGAACAAATCTCAATTTCTCTATATATTTATATTCTAAGATGACTGTGTCCCACTTAATTTACATTAGCAGTGTGAGAAGTAGACCAAGTAAAAAAAATTGTTGCTCAAAAAATATGAAGTCCTACAAGTGGCAAGTGCTTTATTTTTTCATCATCATACTGGACCTTTCCACTCAGCCTCACTTTCCCAGGAGACATTCTACTGTGTTCTGTCTATATAATACCAGGGCATTTATTTATATATGATATACCGTATGTCTGGCATTATGAAATTATTTTTTCTCAAGGACTTTTATGTATATCTCAGTTACGGAAGCTGGAGACATCATAGTTATGGTCAATCCAGATGTGAAGGTCTTGCTGACTCAACTCCTTCCATCAAACTAATGCACTATGAGAACAACCAATCATTTTTCAATCAGAACTTCAGGATATTAAATTACCTTCATAGGCAGCTTTTATTTCTGTATGTTTTTTAGAAATCAAAATCACAACTATTATTGATCTGGTCCTAATATAATTATTTTGATATTACTTTACAATTTATGCTACTTGTTAATGCTAATGCTACTTGGGTTTGCTCTACAAAGCTTGTGCTGACACAGTAATTACTGCTATGAATAAATAAATGCATAAATCAAGACAAGGTAAGCAAACAAGCTAGCAAGATCTATGTGCCTTGCTATCTTGAGCAATTGATTTAATAATTCATTTTCCTGAGCAGTGTCTTAGAGTATATCTTGCTCTCTTTTTAGTGTTAGCGTTGTGCATAGCCAATTTGCAGCCCAGCCTAACACTAAAATGCTTATTTGAAAATATTACTGGCGGTCACCAGATAGCACCACATAGCTTCTGTGGTTAAGGGTATGATTTCACGACTTAAGTACAGCACAAAATACCAGACCTGGGGACCTGCTGCTGGTCTTCCCACTAAATCTGAAGGAAGGCCAAGTCTTGCCATTTCTACAGTGCATTTGGTTGTGCTCATCTTGCTTTCACCATATTACTCCAACCAAAACAGCACCACCTAAAGCATCTCTGGAGTGCTAACAGGTGTTTTGAAATAGTATTGCTAAAAAACAGAGATGTGATGTGGCCTCTCTGGAGGCTGAGGACAGGCCAGAGCATCCAGCCCCTCACCAGCTGCAGGCTTCCCTCTCCAAGGGGCCTCCCACAGATCTCCCCTGCTACCTTGAGCACCAGCAGTGTCTTACCATGCTACGCAAGGGATGAAAATACATAGTTTCATACTAACGTCAGCTTCATTAAGGCTTGGAAAAGGTTGCTTAATCATTTGGGGTTTTTCAAAAATAATAAAAAAAAACAAAGTTCCAGCAATTGTGGTTCTTGAACAAATGTGAAAAACTGAACCAGATGTCCTCTGTAGGCTCATCTAAAGTGAAACCCATAGGGAAAAACATCCCCAGCCTATAGCTGCATAAACATTATTCTGGAGGGGAAGAACTCAAAGGGGTGTATCTTCACTCCTATTTTTTGAAAATGAGATGTACTTTGGGTCCTGGGATACAATCATCACTTGAGGCTGGCAGTACTGCCAGGGCATTATAAAAATCACCCACCTCACCCTAGAACTTTAAATGTCTCTGTCCCTTTTATACTATTATGTCTTTTAACTTGAAAGGTTGAAGATGTTGATACTTGGTTTGCATAAGCAGTATCGCAAGATTCTATACCCAGTTATACAGCTACCAGTATCTATGCTGCTTATCCAATAAATAAAATTTTAGTTAATAGCACCTCCTTACTCAGCAAATCTATCTTTTCCATTTCAGTGAGCAGACTTTAGGATGATGCTTTATACCTGACAGCAATAAAAGAGCAAGACTGAGCTAGATCCTCTGGTAGCATCAGAAAATAAATGATGGCTCTATGCTAATGGAAAAAAACTTTAATCTGGTATCTAAACCCATATACTTCAATTACATCTTAATTACATTTTAATTACATGGAAAATCTACATATAATTGCTCAGAGCTGTTACTGCTTAGCTGGAGATGGTATTTAATTACTTGAATTAATATTTAACATGTGTCGTATCAAAGAGGGGAAATGCTATAAAAGACTCAACATATATTGAAATATGGCTGCAATTTAAAAATCCCCAGTACTCTAGGAATGCAGTTAGAGATTCAACAATCAATTAAACCTGAAACTGTAGCTTCAGACTACTTGACGATTGGGAATTTTAACACTGAAATCCCATCACTGTCATCAGCTAATAGTATCCCAAGCTGTTAACCAGGATTCATGCCCCCACGTGGTCATCACTGTACTGGCTTCAGATGAGAGAAGTCCCAGGCAATCTGGAGTAATTCTGCTGCTGCAGCCTCTTGCATTCAGATTTAATTCTGGGCATAAGGAAATCCACCAAAATAAATAAAACTATTTGCATGCTTAAATTTAAGTGTTTGGAGACCTGTAATCTGATGGATACAAAGGGCTTAAGAGCATATTCTATGCAAAGAAAAAGTGACAGTACTCTTGAAAAAACACACCATTACATGGTTCTCTTTTGGCATTTGATATAAAATGTGGCAATTCTCAGCTAATTTGCATTGGCGAAAGATAAAAAATAAAGTAGTTTAATGACAATTGTTTTTAATGTGAAAATTTCCAAATAATAATTTGAAATATTTTATTCTCTTAAAAATAACCTTATAATGAACCCTTCTCAAAATAAAAAAATGCTGCTATTGTTTCAGTCAGCTTTGTTGTGTAGTGATGTTTTCCTTTGTCTTGAAAAAAACCCCAGACTGATTTTATTTCTTAAGGGATTAAAAACATGGCAATGGCAGGAGAAATTGTTTACATCTAAAGAGAAAAACAATTTAAAAAACCTCCAACCACCTGTAATGAAAACAGCATTTGACCTGATATCTTACCAAACAAATGCCCACCTTCCGTATAGTCCAAAGCCACTGGTCGCACTCTTACATCTTCCTGAAGCACACTTTAGCTCTTGTGATACTTATTTTTAATCCCCTTAAATTTTCTGTGGTACATACAGATTTTGCAGCCTGTGGAATACTACCAAGAGCCAAGAACAATACAATGGGTTGTTCACACCGTCAGCTCCACTAAATCTCACTGGCGCTGACCCAGGCGGTCTCCCCTGCACTTGCCCTCCCCACTGCTCCAGCAGTACCTGCACTGCATCTCTCATGGGTCAGCACACCTATGAGAGTCTTTCCATCCAACTCCAGTTTGTTTTCCAATGCTGGCAATCCTATAACTTCAGTAATAGTAGCAACATGACTGTGAATCAGGCTGGGTGGTAGTGGATAGCTCCCTGCCCCTTGTTTTTCTCTCACACCACAGGAAAGGCTCTTCTGCTTGTTCTCTTGGAAATGGTGGGTGCAGTGAAAAGCAGAGCTTATAAGCTTGAAAAGGAGATAGAGAAGGAGGGAAGGTCTGCCCTCACTGTGATTGAGTGAGAAGCTAAATAACCTGTGAGTAAAATCTCTTCTCTGAAATACTCCTAGGAAAGCTTCTAAGTGACCTGTACAAATAAAAGACTTTCCTGACTGCTTTATTAGCACCTTACCTGCTTGTTGGCTTTCAGCACTGCTCTCAGGGTTGCAATCTGTTCCCGCTTCGTACTCAGGAGTGATTTTAGTTTCAGTATCTCTTCCATTAAAGCCTCCTTGTCTTTATCGATCATGGGTGCCAGCTCCCGAGCTGCAGCACGCTGGCGCGACAGCTGCAGCGACCGATCGACAGCCTTCTGCAAGTGCTTGATTTGGTCCCTTATTATGGCATTGAGGTTGTAGATGTTCATCGGCTCTTTGCGGATGTCACTGGTATCAGAGACAGGGGAAGAAGGAGGGGCTGTGATGACAGGAGAAATGGTAGGTGTTTTTGTCGGGCTCTGTTCCTTGCCAGGCTCAGTGGCCTCTTTTGTCACCTGCTCAGTCGGGGTCCTGGCTTCTACAGGTGATGACACCCCCCTTCTGGCAAGCCGTGGGGAAAGGAGACCTCGAGGGTCATCTGGTCCTTTCAGGCTCCCGCTGCGGGTGACTCTGCTTTGCCTGTAATAGTCCAACATGACCCTGTTTGGTGTCTCATTGTTGCACAGGCAGACGTGATGGTAGAGCTGAGCCAACTCCTCACTAAATGTCACCAGCTCATCCTGGGCGGTGTTGAGGGTATTATGGTTTTCATTTGCTATGCTTGTCATCCTTTGCAGCTCCTTTTCCATGTGGACCATTTTTTCCTGGCTGTCCTTGGTTGACTTCTCCAGGCTTGTCACCTGCTCATCATATGTCTGGATTCTGCTTTCATACTTGGCCTTCTCTTCAGTGTAGTTTTCAACATGCTTATTATATTTCTCCTTTAAGGCTTTGATTTCTGCTTTGAGGTCTATCACCTCAGTCACAGCTACTTTGTATTTACATTCTAGGATCTCCAAGCCGTTTATGTCCACTTCATAATCGTGTGCTTCCTCACTGGGTTCTCTGCCCTTCTCAGAGTCAAGCTCAGCTTTCAGCTCCTTGTTGCTCTGCAGCCCCCTCATGGCATTGACGTGCTCCGTGAGCCTGTGTACTCTTTCATGTTGCTCAGTCAGGGCTCCCTTGGTGTGCTCCAGCTGCGTCTGAGACTCCTGCAGGTTGGCCAGGAGAATAGCCTTCTCTCTCTCCACCTGCAACAGAGCCAAAGTAAGAAACTCAGAATCTCGTCCTACCTGTGCAAAACACCGGACTCTGCAGTCATGTTCATCTCTCCACTCCCTACTCTGCATATGCAACTTGAGGACCTCCAAAAGGTTTCAGCCATATACACCTAAATCATAAAACTAAGTCAGAAAGAGATGCATGTGATTGTCAGAGTTGTGAAGTCCCAGCCTCTGCTACAATTTCAGCTAGAGAGATGATACAGGATTTATTATGACATATGTTCCCTGAACATATGAACTTCATCACTGTCAACTACTAGTATATACATGTTTCTCAATGGAATTTGAATGTATATTTCCCATTAACAGCTCTACTGATCATTCACGATAATTACTATATCTTTGGACTGTTGCCAACTTGCATTAAGGCTTGATTAGTGAATGCAAATATAGTAAGCAAGTGGCTGTGTAAATTTCCATAGGTTAGATTAAATAACCTACTGTGTGAGAACGTAACACAGATCAGGAGACTAAGCACATGCAAATCTCAGGGCTCCCCAAGTCTCTCACTTTGCTGTAAGCAAAATCCATCCTCTAAGGACATGGCAGAAAAAGCAGGAATTCTGGTACAACTAACAAACCACTAGTTCTGACCTAGTAAACTCCTTTCTGAATATCCGCAGGGAAACGTAGATGTTGAACAGGAGAAGAGGTCATAGAGGACTCCTCTAGAAATTTAAGTATGCAACATTTTAAAGCAAATGAACAAGACGAAGTTTGATCTGCTTGGGTATTTGCCACTCAACACCCCTGAAAGACATCCATTTCAAGGTTTAAGTGTAGTGCTCCAACTTTTCTTCTGTGCTTTTGTCCAGTTCTGAGTTGTGAACTGGGACGCAGAGGAAGGCACATGGAGATGGGATCCTTCTTACTTTTGCAATAGGATCCTAAGCCTACCAGGTTTACTATCCTTTCTCTCTGACAGTTGCAGTATCTCAGCACTGTGCTTACACACACAGCAAAAATTACATGCTCCACGTACCCTTTATGTGGCTGAATTAATAATTCTGAGAATGCAAAGCTTTCAGTTCTGAAAAAACCCCACCAAAAACCAAACAAAAAACTTTCCTTCCGTAGCAGTATCCCCTCACGTAATATTTGGAAAACAGTCAAATCAGCCACCATGAATCTACTGAAGGAAAAGCCTTTTAGAGATGGAGAGGGTACTACTCCCATCTCACAAAGTGTTCCAAGCAGTGCTTCAGACTCGTTTCCTTGCAACAACGCTTTTGAGCAGCGGCTGCTCCTTTGAAGTATTAGCATATGATAATCCTCTGGTTTTACAGACAGGCTTTTAGAACCTGCAATCAATTGCAGGCAGATACTGTAAGAATAAAAATAGAAGCCATGTTAAAAACATCTAAAAAATCAGCCTAGTTTTCTTGCACACAGAGTACCGATGGCTTAAAAATCAAAAAAACAAAACAAAAACCACAACAAACAAAACAGGGCCAAACCTCATCATTATTTTATGATCCAGGAAAAGTGTGTCTCCTCAGATGCAGGATGCTCCATTTAGGCACTACATAGTCTGAGCCAAAGAGGACAGCCAGGTACTATAAGTTTATCGGTACTTTTCTCCATTTGGCACCGTTCGCTTGCTGCTGCTTCAGTCTGCCTACAACGCTCCTTGCTACTCATGCCCCATGTCAGCCCATTCTCACTAAGAAAATCCAGAATTGGGTAATATTCCTCTTTGACAAGAGCATTTTCTTAAGAGTTGACCTCTTTCCACAGACCTGTCCTGCAGAGCCTCTTCACTAGCTTACCTCTTTTTTTTCCATTAAGCAGTCTGCCCCAGCTGTGCTCTCCCCAGAAACTTGCACCTGTAGTTGTTACCACCTGGTATAGCAGGCTTAGATGTTAATTACATTAACCTCATCAGCTAATGAAGGTGTTTATTCCCTCAGGCTGGTGAGCTACACCTGTGCCTGAAAAAAAAACCAACCTGAGTTTTGATTAATTTAAAGGACTGTCTCACTGTACCTGCAGTAGACTGCTCTGGTATAAAAGCAAATGCAGAGCTTACAGCCAGAAAGCTGAGAAAAAAACTCAGTGTTTCAGTGTCCACTTAAATGAATCAGACAGAACTGATCCTACTGGATTACTGATCACAGCTGTCATACTCTATCATGAAGAAAAACTATAACAGAGTTAATTGGGATCTTTATGACAATTTCTCTACTGAACATAAATATGTTCTGGAAATAAAGACTTCTTTCAAATAGAAAGGATACTTTCCAGAGAAAACGTGCAACTTTTAAAACCCCTAGATCACCCTGATGGTAAATAAAATAAAATACATAGATCTACTAAATTTTACTCATTCTGGCCCAGTAATTATGGATTAAGCTAATCTGCTTCCGCTTAAAGTTATAAACATATGTTCCTACTTCCAAAGGGAAGAAGACCAAAACCAGAGCTCCAGTGCAGTCCTAAGAACACCTTCTGCATGCTAATGAATCTGCTGTTTCCAAGTATCTTAATTGTATTTGTCATTCTACACAATACTACACTCATTTCCACACACAGAAAACTTCTGGGAAATTCAGTTACTTTTCAGTCCAGGTGGTGGGGTATTTTTGATACCAAAATTAATAGCTGCAGCAAGGATCTTTAGCATCTTAAAATTTAAATAAAATCAATTCAAAAGCAGCTGTACCTATTTTCTGATGCATCCTTCCCTTCAAGTATTTCAGCGTGAATATATTTCCTTCCCAATTTGCTCTACAGTTTTCAACTTTGGGAACCGATTTTAAAATTGCTCTTTTTTTTTAATACCATCAGAATACAAGTGAGCAATTCCTAGTGGGCATTAGAATAAATTAACAGGAAAACTCAGCTCAAGAACCATGAATCGCAGATGTATCATATTTGTCAGCGAGCACCAGGGAGCTGGAGAAGTGTCAGAAACTGGGCTGCATGATTTATTTTTTTTTTTTTCCTTCTTTTTAAGAGCATTTTATATCCAAATATGATGTTGGCCTCAGGAATAGGTAAAGAATCACCATGGAAGGAAGAGAGGAATCCTAGGCCTTGAAGATGAGAGAGAGAATTCTTTCCACTGGATAACAACCATGAAGGAAGAGCAGAAAGCCTTGAGCTTTTCCATGAAATTTTAGAATACAGGAATTTTCAGAGGACATTTTTTCCAGTGGATTTAAAAGAGAAAGGGAACAGCTACAATTAAATCTTTCCTAGGGACCAACACAGATCATGACCAGCAGCATCCCAAAGCTGCAGAAGGAATTATACCCGTCCTACTAACTGTTCTATTGAAGGCTTCTTTTTGAGATTGAGGAGTGAAAAAATTTGCCTTACAGTTCCAAAATGGCAAATCTAATGTTTTCTTCTCTCAAAAAAAAAAAAAAAGGATCCTGCTGTCCTATAGGCATCAAAATAGTTCCCAAGAAAGGGTCTGTTCCTACAGCAACTCTGTCATAGTACAGCCTCTCTGGAGAAACGAAGAGGAACACACAGCAAATACTGGGATATGCCTGAATGAACACTACATGGCAAAGACACTGTAGAGGAGAAAAAAATCCAATTTTGCTGAAGAATTACCTTTTGTCAGCTTGGACGTGATTAAATCTCCCGCCTATTATGAGGAAAATTTCTGAAGGAATTTTTCACATTTCATTTGTGTGACCAAGGTGAGCTGATGCAACTCAACAGAGAAGTTGTTCACTTTATAAAAAGCACACATCAGCATTTTGCAGTAAGCCTTTTCAGTATCTAAAGAAATCAAGTTTCCAGCTAGGTCTAGTCTTTCTTTTTAAACCCTAAACCTTTTAACCTTTAAACCACCAATCAATGGGGATGACTATCGGTGTGAGGGTGCTGAAGCCCAGCACCAAAAAATGCTGTGACCAAAAAATGGTTATACTTATTTCCTACAGTCCTTCTAGGGTCCTAAGTTCATGTCTTGTGACTGTCAGAAGTCTCTGCCTCTTTGTTTTAGAGGTGTAAAATAAGTAAGCTTTTAAGTTAGAGATGATGAAAGGAGTTGTAATATCTTTCAAGTAGAAGTTTCTGATTCATCAAGCTCAATATTTAAGTCATAAAATCTAGACAAAACATACCCCAAAGAGTCTTCTTTGTTCATTTCTAAGCAGCTTTCACTTCAAATTTCTACTACATAAGCTTCATTGTAAATTATGGTTGAAAATGCTCACACTATATATTAAAAGGTGAACATGTCAAAACATTTCTTCTGAAGCCATGCTTTTTCTTTAATTTTTAACGTTATATTTCCAAATGAAATAAAAAGCTGCATATAATGCATATGTGCAATGTTATATACACAAATGTATACATATATACATGTGCATCTTTTTCATATATCCCTATATACATAAACTACATACTATTTACATTTTAATACTGAAAAACTTTGACAGAACTTTTCACATAAATAAAATTATAAATTTAAAGCTTTCCCACTTAAATTACATCTGTCTTGCAACAAAGTTATTCATGCAAAGCACTAGATGTCATCAGAGTTTACAATGTCACTGTTCCGATCAAAACTTCCCATGGTGAGGTTAGCAACGAAGTAAATAAACAATTAACTCTTCAGCAAAAATAGGACAGACCACATAGGGATTTATTGTTCTCTAGCAAGCACTGAAATTGGGTTTGCTCTACTTTACTTCCATATTACCCTTTACATTTGAAGCAGTAAAGGATTTACATTTACTGTCTTTGGAAGAGATACTTTTTGGAAGCAAAAACATGCTGGATGTTTACTTGATGGTGCCAAAACCTTTCAAGCTCTTGTGGCAGAGAAGATGCTAAACAGCTTGGGCAGTGGGACCCCTTCTCTGTGTGGCACTGTACCCCTTCTAAGATGACATCAGCACTGGGGCCAGCAGCTTGAGATTTTGTCTGGCTTGCATCCCAGGCTCCCATTCTGGTTATGCCTGGGCTGGGCTTGGATGAATAGAGAAAAACGCTCACTGAATGGTCCCCAAGCCACCCCCTGCAGCCTGTGCATCTGCTGGGACTGTCAGTATGGACAAGGGCACTCTGTGGTATCTCACACACCACATGCTCTCTGAGTACATGGTTATTAAGAGGAGCACTCTACTCCTTTTTTTCTCTTTTGATGGTAAGCCAAATCTCATTCAAACTGAATTTAATGGCAAAAACTCCTTCTGACTCACAATGGAGCATAATCAAGTCTGTCTGTATTTTGGTGTTTTTTTTCCAGATAGCTTTGGTCATACTGAAGAGTACTTTCTTTACTTGCAATTTCAGGAATATTTCCCATTATCATAGCAGGAAACAAGGAAGTTAACCATCTGCAACCACAGCAGCTAGGTTCCTTTATCCTCTTTGCACTAAACATCTGCACAATTCACACTGACTTTTTGCAGACAGACACTCTGTTTCCTGGGGAATATTACTGGCAAAATCTGGATATGAAGAAACACCAAAGCAGAGGTCTGAGAACAGGACATAGGTTGTCAAGAACATCACTGGGAGAAACTACTGCAAAAGCTGGTACTAGGGCTCATAGGATGTATGTCTAAACACTTCAGAACATTGAATGCAGCTCTTACCTGCATGAGTTGCTGCTTCAGTTTCTGTATTTCTGATATGTTGAGCTCACTGAAGAGGTCAGAAACGGGGTGAAGAGACTCTCCTTTCCTACTCGTGGGGGTTCGGTAGTCACCATTGAGTTTCACAAGAGGCCCGTGGATATGTCCGTTCATTTTGTCATCATTGTTGGGCTCGCCCCCATCCTCTGAAAACTTCAATCCATCTACTGATATATTAATATGGTTATTATACATACTATCATTGAGGTTGATATACTGGGCTAGTTCCTTTCTCAGATTGTTCTTTTGCTCTCTTTCATTTTTTAAAGTTTCCAGAGCTTCCTCCAGCTGATGCTCAGCAATCTCCTTCAGTCTGATGGCATCTTCTAGCTGACTGTTAAGCAACACTGTCTCCTCCTCAAACCGTTTAATCTCATGCTTTAAGCCTTCATATTCAACCTGAATTAGACAAGACAAAGAACATTCATAATACTAAAACTTAAGTCATGAAAACCTGCCATTTATTAGCCTGACTGAAATAGGTGTTAGAGAAGCTACAGGTTGAAATACCAGACATTGCCCACAACTGCAAAGAACTGGCTGCACAGAAAATGCAAGTGGAGCTCACTCTGTTAAATACTCCACTGCTCACTTTTTCAGCATGTGAGAATCAAGAAATATTGCACCTTTTAATGAGTACGTTAGGAGAATAAAAAATATATTTAATGGAAAGAAGGTTGTTTAGTTGCAGATGTCCTGGTAACCATAGCTTTATTATTAATTGCCATAAGCAATGTTGGTATATCATGGTCTGTATAGATCTCAGGTTAGTATAGTCTGACTAATTAATTGCAAGCATTCTTAAGACGACTTTATATCTAAATTCTTACCAGTTGTAAAGTTACTCAGGCACAGATACTCTCAAGTATCTTGATATCTGAGTAGTTTTCAAAAATGTGGATGGAATGAACAGAAATGTTAGAAGAGCCCCACCTCTCTTCTCTGTGTCAGACAAGAATCTCTATTATTCAAGAAGCATTTCATTTTAAAATTAAACAGAAAACTATTCATACAATCACTTTAAACTTTAAGATGCCCCAAATTGTTAGAGATTTTTAAACTACCAGAAAAATGCAATAAACAGCTCATTCAGCCACACAATGCTTGAATTGCATGTAGCGATGCCATTCTGGAGCACTTGGCAACCTGTTGCACCAACAGCACTGCCTAAAGTGTGTCCCAGTAATTTGGCGCAGTCTCACCAGGCTTGGAGGGATTCCCCGCTCTTTCTCCTCAGAGGGCAGGCTCCCTACCCTACACACAGGTGCAGTATTTTATCAAGGTATTTATGGGCATTGTGAGCCGAGGAGAACAACTTCTCTCTTCAAAGGCAGCTCCTGCATTTATGCGGATTTCTCTATTACACATAACAAGAAGCAAAGCCAGGGAAAACACAGTCTAGCCTGAAACCAGTTCAGCAACATCTAGATGATGTCGCGGATCCCCACGGCAGAACACCTTTTCTTGCTGGCCCTCCTCATCTTCCTTTTCACTGTTGAGAAATCTCACATCAGTAAAAAGCAAGAGCTTTGTTTGTGAAGGTCCATGTCCATACTTGACCAAATCTCCAGGTAAAAATGATCACACCTTGATTTTTTAATTTAATCATGTTACTTGTCTATTTTTCATTTCTAAACGAAAAAAAAAATAAAAATCCTAGTATCAGCAAAAAGAATTTAATAGCTCAGTGAAAGAGATAAATACTGAATTTTCATGCTTCCACAAAAAAACCCCACCTTTTTGCAGTTGAGTCTTTTATAACTCAAATGCATTATTATGCATTACTATCTGCAATTTTAAGGCACTGTCTAGAATATTTTTTGACATATGCAGATATTCAAACAAACTATAATAAGGTTCTGCTGAAAACAGAAATACCCACCATTCCTACTGGAATAGAATATTTATCAACCTGTCAGAAGTCTTGTTCTCATAAACCTTTGGAAAGGTACTGGGAGGTCTTGAGTAAAAAAGGAAATCCATGAGATTTTAAAATCTGCATTTAGAAACTTGATATCTTTTCTGACTGGAGGGACAGGTCCATCTGAACAGTTATAAAAGCCAATCAAGTAGCTATGTTTATAACTTAAGGACATGAGAAAAAGAGAAAATGAACAAACAAACCCAAAACAACCAAAAAAACCAACCCTTTTTCAATTTTAAATCCATATGAAAACCCAAGTTCTACATTATCTCTATGGTTAGCATCTCAGGTTCTTGCTTACAAAAGCTACAAAAAATCCCCAACCCCAATAATGACAGTTTCACACTAAGATTTGTAACATACGGTTTGTAAATTAAAGTACTAAGGTATAAAATGCTCTTGAAATTTTATCTTTTAGATCAAAGTTATTTTAGGAATCACAGGTGCACGAATAAGTGATGCAAAGTGACTAATTTTTAAAGCCATTCAAAACAACGTGCTTTTTCTCTCCAGACTGGTGGCATTTGGTTTCATTAAGAAAAAAATATTATGATGAAATGTAAACACTTCCAAACAGATTTTCTTCTGGGGGAAACTAGGATAGTCCATAAAAGGGTCTTTAATTTCCTGATAGTGTGAAAATGCTTCCTATGAGGTTGGTGAGGAAAAAATCCATGCCTCAAAGGAGGTTATTTGCTGGCTTGGTAAGTAACTCTGACAAAAAGATGATCTGCTATAAATCCAGTTTCAGGAGTGTGAAAGTCTAGATATCTTCATAAATAAGGAAATGATGTACTGAATTCTACTGCCTGCTTATTCTCTGGGGCACAGCTCTGTTTTAAATATTTCAATTGCAGTTGTGCTAGAGTGGTGAAATAGCAATAAAAGAAGGCTGAAACAGTATTGCATATTCCTGCAGAAATAAGGCAGCTTTATTACCAGGCTGCCATTAGAAACTGTGACAGTCTTGGTTATTTGATAAAAGCCCTGAACCAAGGCAGTAGGTTAGGATGTAAACTAGGGGTTACGATGCTGTCACCCTCTGCTTGCAGTTAAGGAAATGGTGTTATGAAATGCAATGTTATGCTGGTCTGGGCAATGTCTAAAAGCAGAAAGTGTTGTTACATCATCCAGGTTGGACACTTAAATATTGAGCATGGCAAGTTAACTTTTCTGACATGAGAACAAATCTCTTTGCTCAATTTAAAGGATAACTGTGCTCTTGATTGCTTCCTTTGCAGTGTATATATGTACATATGTATGTCCAGCAGCAAAGGAAACTGGGATTTCGCATGGGGGAGAGAACAGACCCTATGACTGCTTAGAGCTGGGGCTGGTTTTTATGGTGCTTCCTCTTGATGCACTCTGCACTGCAGTGAGAATTACAGCTTGTTGGTTTGCCATCAGCTGCAAATTGTTGTAATGAAGAAAACAAAAGACAAACTAGCAATATCTGACATCCCTTCTCCTGTGTTTGAAGTTTATGGATTAGCAGGGCTGAGAAGAGAGCAGCACTGGTACAAGAAAACCTGAGAAGCAAGGAGAGAAAAAAAAAAAAGGAGAACAAGGAGAAGATTATTTCCTCCATTTCAGAAGAGGAAAGGATGTGCAGGAAACCAAGAGGAAATGGAGAATTGAACTCTGCCACTGGGGACCAAGTTCAGCGTGCAGGGAGGAAGGACAGGAAAAGCAGGAAGCAAAAAGATGCAATTCTATAGATTTTAATAATTCCTCTGTTGCTACAAAGTTTTGCAACAAAATATTCCCCCAGGATTTTCCTAAAAACTGAGGCAAGGGCCTCCCTATATACCAAAAATGGCCAACAACACTGTTTCAGAATAAGTGTTCAGCAAAAACCCAACTGAAAAAGTATCTAAGTGCTCTACGGGATGACATTATGGAAACTGGAGAAAATGGTGTCATTTTACAGCATGCTGCCTTGACTCTTTTGATGCTTACTTGATTCTGTTTCAGTGTGGACACCAGTTTCTGTAAAGTGATGTTTTCTTCTTCAAGCTCAGTGTAGTCCTGTAGGAGTCTTGCCTCTCGAAACTTGTACTCTCGAATTTCATCTTTCATTCGTATCCTCTGTAGTTCTACCATTTCATTATTCTAGGGAGAGAAAATGTAAGTACATTACCATCCATGCACGGTCACTTTAATGATGAACACTGCCTTTAGAAAAGGCCAAATAATTAATTCAAATAGAAATGATTTAATGGTGCAAGTCAATACAGCATCACCTTTTAAGCCAAGTCCAAGCAGTAATTTAAGGTGTGTGCTGGCAATGCAAAAATGAGAAAATCTGATAAGGATGCTTGCTTAAATCAATTTCAATATTAGATGCTTATTGAAACGTAAAACCTTTAAGGCAAGGCTTTATCATCTCTCTTACTATCTTACAATATAGTTAGATTTAAATAACATTACCGCCTGTTTTCCTCTTAAGGGTGCTTTCTACATTCATAAAGAAAACCAGTGAGTAATGGCAACTATTCTGTAATGACATCTGTTACTGAGAAATGTGCACTTGTATCTCCAGGCATTAGAGGAGCACAAAAGCAGGTGAGGGGGATCTGCAAGCCAGACAGCTGGCTGTAAAGCACTCATCAAATACCTGACAAATTCATTACTGTGCTGAGCAGGATTACACCCTCAAGTCCAAGAACACATAAGGTCCCACTTTATTTTTCCCATTAGCACATACAAGTCCCAGACAGCCTTCTGAGAGAGTTCATGAGGGATCAGTTTCACCAAAAACTACTTCCACCAGATTCCAGTTCTGAGTTTGACATCAAGGGTCAAGCTATACTGGTAAGACTCTGCTGGCATAACCCTGATGTAAACTGCGCTACAGGAAGACGGAGTTAACACAGCTGGACAAGAATGGTGACCAAGATGGTTCCCTCTTTATTTTGAAGAGAATCTGTATTTGCCTGTTTAGCAGAAATAGGCATGATTGGTCATCCTCTTCTTGCCTGCAGGAGGAGCCTGAGCATCGCCACAGCAGCTGGTGGAAGGAAGCATTACTGCAACCTTAATGATGGGGCAGAGCCTCCTCGCTGCTGGGGTGTCAGAAAGAGCATGCCTGGGAAGCAGTAATGAGTTTCTGTAAAAGATTCCAGTCTGGAGGAAGGGCAACCACTGGCCTGATAGCTACCTGAAAAAAGTCAAGTGTTTAAAAAATCATTACAGCAGAAACTGTAATCAGGGAGCCCTACCTAGATGTACAACTCACTCTCTGGTACGTAATGGATAAAACCAACATTTTGAATTCAGGATAAACAGAACTTTGCTTAGCACCTAGGTTAAATAAACCCTTGCAAAATAACGTTGCAAAGCATGAAAAAAAACAGGTTGATGCAAGAGTTACAAAAACACTTTTTAAAACGAAGCTTTTTCTGAAAAAAAAAAATAACCACCATCACCCTCCTCCTGGCACCTAATTAAGAAGAAATAAACTACTTCATTTCTAAGTGAAGGCAACTGAAAAGATCCCTAGTGGCAGAAGAGTCACAAAGCACTAGATGAAAGTAACTGCAAATATTCCTGCATCCATCACCGCCTAATAAATCTCTGAGTGTACTGTAAGAATGGCACTGCAGATGATTGCACAAAGGCATTTTATACCTCAGTCTGCCCTTACATGCTTTGTTTCTGTCAGCATACTCTCAGCTGTGGTGGTTATTTACACCTGCTAAGTGTGGGTACACATGCAAGTCTGTGTCAGTAACTGGACAACACCAAATGCATGACTCTTCTATGTCAAGTATAATTAAGCTGATCCGCAATTCTCACTGTGTTTGGAGGACGATCGCCCAAGGAATGCATAGCAACCATATGACATCCATCCAACACTGATAGCAGCCCAGGGAGCATGAGACCGTGTGGAGGAGTTCTGCCCACTTAGCTCTCAGTATGGCAGCAGGAAGTGTTCCAAGCACCTTACTGGGGTGAGCTCACCACCATCATGCAAAACAGGCAGCTGAGGGTCAATTCATGGTTGGAACTGGACCTGACATCAACACTGCTTATTGAAAGGAAGGCCTCTCTGAAAGGGAGAAATAAGAAAGATGGCCAGAGACGGAGGACCTCAGCAAATAGTTTTTATAGAATCCTGATATATAATTTTCCTGATAGAGTACAAGGCATGCTACTTTGAAAAAGCCTTGACAATTAACTCTGTAAGGTCAGAGTACTCCTTTGTCGTACTTATTATTGCAAGCAGCAATGGAAAACATGAGCTATCACCATTTCTTTATGAAGAGAGAAACAGCATTCCTTCACCCCTTGTAACTGCTGCTTCTATACATAATCTTGGAGGTATAAACAGAAACACTTCTAGTGCTCCTCCTCTTCTTACACACAGAGAAACTATTTCTGCAGAGCAAACTTTATTTGTCATTACTCATGGCATTTGGTCAAGAGGGAAACAGAACGAAAAGGGAAGCAGAAGCCAGATACATCCTGTCTGCCATGCCTACTGCAGCACTGCCTGCTCTGCTTTGGGCTGAGGCCTCTGCCAGAAGCAGTCCCGCTGCTCTGCCACAGGGGCAAAACAAACTCAGCGCATTACAGAATACGGTATCACCTTTTCAGAGTAATCTAAAATGTGTGTCTTGTCACTGAAAACACCCTGGCATTATTCTCCATGCCCCCTGAACCCTCCTCCTATTTGTGAGCATCTGCATAATGCTGGCAAATATCCAGCTGCTAAGTGTCCTACGGCTATCACTGCTTCCTATGAAAAGTGGTGCTTCCATGTTACGGGGCAAAAGCCTGATGTTAATGAGGCTCACGAGAGTAGCCACAGGACATGCTGGAGGACTACTCTGTTTTCCTTCATGTAAGATCCCTAAGCATTTTGTAGAAGTGAGCTAGTCTTCAACCTATTAAACACAAGGCAAAAGGAGTCTGTCAGCAGGGCAGTTATCTATATGAGCCACTAGAGGACAATGTAACCTAAATTATTAGTAAAATAATTCGTAATTAACTGGTAATCAAGCACTGAACATTAAACTTGCAGGAGAGAGCAGCTGAGTCAGATGCTTTTACAAGGGCACTGCCTCAGGACATTTTCTATTTCCAGATAGGATTCCCCTATGAGCTACTGGATCTGTAAAAACCAAATTAATCCAAGAGGTGGAGCTAATGATACATAAGCGATGTCTTAATGGCTGTAAATTATTTCCAATCCCAGTCACCAGCTGAAACATGGTGTAATGGTTTTAATGGATCAGCGCCAAAGAAGAAGGAAAAGGCCTTTCTGTGAAACTATAGAAAACAACAGAGTCCTTGTCAGCATTGCATCTCATTATATGCGAGCACTAATTATGGAAGATGTCAGTTACATAGCACATCTAATGAACCTACGCATAACAGAATAGACCATAAGAAATGAAAAACAGGAGGCTCAGTTGATGTAAAGTCTGTTCAGGTCACGTATCCACTAGTACTTAGATATATTTTCAGACTTATTATATATGAAAAGCGAAAGACATCGCCAGGTTTTACAGGAGCAAGGACCATATCTGTAGAGTACAACCACAATAAGTCTGAGCATCAGTGGAATATAAATATTAAATAATACACTTCTGTACTTCTTACCAAAATTAAATGCAATATAGATGAATATATTATTTTTGATTCAGTATAGACTTTGAAAATGTTGTATTCCATATGCTATATAGAGAGCACATTGCATAAAGTGTGTGTGCAGATACATTGGAATACACTTAATTGACTGGAATATCAAGTAATTGCAAGTAAGAAGGTACTTTAAAATGAAAGAATGGAAATATCTAATGTTGAAAACTATGTGAAAGAACTATGAAAAAACATATGATTCCCCCCAGGGTCACTTTTTGTCCTAACACCTCCAGTGTTGCCCAAGGAAGCCACTTCTAACACTCTTGTGTCATATCAAGTCATTTAAGGAAAGAAAAGGGACGGTAACCTGAAGCTGAGTGTTCTCCTCTCCAAGGTGAAAAGCAAGCTCTGGTGGTTTTTGATTTCCTGAAGTGTGGACCCATTTCTGGTTTCTGTCTAGTGGTTTTTATCCCAAACAAAACTGGGGAACTAGTATTTGCGCTTTTCCCCCATATTTTTTTTATACAAATTTTCCTTAAAAGATTTCAGGTCTTTACATCAGTGAAACATACTAATTTTCACACTGTAAAACAACCTTATAATCAAAAGTTAATTATATGCCCCAAGCTACCCTGACTAAATCACTACTTACCTCCTGGAATATGCAAGCCATAGCATGATGCTGTGCGCAACTTTCTAACTTTCATAACTCACAAGTGAAAGAACAGTGGAAAATTTATATACTTTCCATTTAATTTTATTGTATTATACTGAGCAGTATAAAGTCCCATTCAATCTGATGACAGTTTTATTGCACTAGCAGTAAACTGAATGTAACATAAAGTTTAGGCTCAGACCAATATCCATAATCTCATGTGTTCATTGACAAGTCTCACTGTAAATGTGTATGTCGTGTTTGCTTTATTCTGCAGAGGAAAATTTTTTTTATTAAAAAAAGTAATAGGCATATAAAGAAAATATAATTTAACTGGGGTTCAAATTTAATTACAAACACCCTAACTTGGCATGGGGAAGCACTACCAGCAAACTCTGGCCAAAACCAGGTTTGGGACTTCCTTTGGGATAAGTCAGTCAGCCATGAAATTAAACCAACTTTTAAATGATTTTGGTTTCTTTTTAAATATATTGTATGTATCCACTTGGCAACATGCAATTATAAATAAATCAATGAGAAATTAACGAGAAGAAAATAATCAAACCCTGATTCATTACTTTGAGAATATACAGATGCACTCTTAGAAACTTTAAAGCCCAATTATATCTTCACTTTAGAAGCCTCTAATGTGAATTGTGGGTACATTATTGTTTTCCATAAGCAATGGAAAACCTAATTCTGCATCATACAGAGCATTCTCTCACCAGCATGATGCAGCAGGACATTAGGACACCACTGGAAAGGCACCCTTCCTCCTTTCTACTGATGGAAGAATTCAAAGAGGAATATAGTACAAGGTAAAGACCCAGAAAGACACTTGCCATGCCAGGGAAGAGGCAGCCAGGGG